TGTGAATAAAATAAAAAAGAATACAGGAAAAAAAAAAAAAAAAAAAAGAAGTTACACAGTGAGAAAGCAGGCTGGGACTCTCCTAGCATCTCAGCATCCTTACCTGCACAAGGACAGGACCATTTTGCAAATGGTCTACAGCCCTGCTCTGCTCCTGGTGACCCAGCACTCCAAAGCGACACCTCCTTTTTTAACTCTTATGCCCAAAGGATCTTACTAAACTCAGTCACTAAATGTCGCTGCTGCCATCTTCACAGACCAGCAGCTTCATACCCCTCGATAATTCCAGAGGTAACAATTTCTCAGGGAAACATCTTTAATACAAAGTAAAAATTATTACCATTATTACCAGCCAAATATCTAAATCCAATATTTCCCATAGACAGTAATAATCACCATCTTTAATACAAATTAAACATCATTACCATTATTACCAGCCAAATATCTAAATCCAGTATTTCCCATAGACAATAATAATCACCATCTTTAATACAAATTAAACATCATTACCATTATTACCAGCCAAATATCTAGATCCAATATTTCCCATAGAAAATAATAATCACCAAAACCCCAAGCCAAATAGATTTTTACAAGGGAGATAGTACGAATATTAGTGTAGATTTACTGTTTGTTATGTGATAAAGCCTGTTTTAAGATTTATACACATGCATTTGAATCTTCATGCAAACCCTAGGAGGTAGGAATGATCATTTCCATTTACAGATAAGAAAACCAAGGCAGAGGATGTTGAAGTCACTGTCCAAGTCAATCCAGAAAATCAGTGGAAGAGCTAGGATCCAACATGGGAGTTTGGCTCCAGAATCTGTATTCTTTTTTTTTTTAATAGTTTTTATTTATTTATTTATTGATGGACCTTTATTTTATTCACTTATTTTCCTATGCAGTGCTGAGAATGGAACCCAGTGCCTCACACACGTGAGGTAAGCGCTCTACCACTCAGCCACAACCCCAGCCCAGAGAATCTGTATTCTTAATTGTTACATTAGCTGGTCAGCAACTGCCTTATCAAAATTTCAAAACTGTTTTAATAAGCAGACAACAGTGGCAAAAGGAGGGGAAAAAGAAAAATGAAACATTTTCCGTCTGGTGTCCCTTGTCCTGGGAATGTTTTTCACTTGCTCTGAAATGGTGCCTGTCTACCACAGATAGTCATGGGGCACTTCCTATAGCCCCAGGAGAGATCCTCCCCCAATACCGTATGAAAAGTTACATCCAATGTTAAATTTGAGAAAGAAGCAATAGGAATAGAAAATGAATGACATCCTATACTGTAAGGCAAACCTATGCTTCCCATGGTCTTACTTTTGTAGTAAGACTTATAAAAACGATTTGCATCCAGCAGGGTTAAGGGACAAAATTTCTAGGATATAATACATCAAAAAAAAAAAACCTTTGTGATGGTATTTGAATTCATAAGTATAAGATAAGTATAAGGAAATGTAAGATTTGTTCTATTTTGAAAAATCTCAACTGCTGACCTGTCACTTGAGTGAAAGACTGGAGAACTCTCAAAAGAACCTCATCTCTTCTCTCAAGATGACTGTGCTTGCCTGCATCAGCTCCCTCCCATGTGGGGTGGCCAGGAAGCCTAGCAGCAGGGCAGCTCAGCAAGAAGTGCCCTGGGGACATGGCAGGCATGGCTAAGTCACTGTAGGCAAGTCAATGCTGTAGCACACTCAAGACCCTAAGATGAACCTGATGATTGACCACTCCAAGAACTGCAGTCGCCAGAGTTGGACAGGGCTGAACGATCCCAGGACTAAGGTTCATATGATGCTATCCCCACCTTGTGTGGAGAAAGCACTTATATTCCAGGTTCCTGCCCAAAGGATATTTATCTTAGATGATTAAACTGATTAGAGTGGTCTTGAATGAGAGCAAATCCTGAAGAAAGAGCCTTAATGAGTCTCAAAACTCTAGAACAAGGGATAAACTGGTACAAAGGAATGAACCTAGCTGTGCCATTTGCAGGGTCTGTTAGCTGTACTTGGAGGTGTAACAACAACCTGAGCCCTAATCAACTATACCAGGGGATGAGTATTTTACTGTAACTCTGCTAAACAGGGTCGGGGGCGGGAGGGGCATCTCTCAAAGCCAGGGAAGAAAGGAGGAGAGAAGAAAAAGTAAAAAAAAAAAAAAAACCAAAATAAAACAAAAAACCCTGTGAAGCCTGAACTTGACACAGGATGCTAGATTTGATGTTGAGCTGCCTGTGGTTGTTAATACCTCCTCTCGTGACATAAATGTCATAAAAGTAATGAATACGTTTGCTTTGTCTGTTGCATGTCCTCACCCACCTCACTCTCCATAGTGCCTGGCACCTTGTAGGTGCCATTTCAGTATTTATTTTTACATATTTTAGTTGTCAATGGATCTTTTTATTTTATTTTTTTTAATTTATATGTAGTGCTGGGGATCGAACTCGGGGCCTCACACATGCCAGGCAAGTGTGAGCCACTACTCCAGCCCCTCATTTCAGTATTTTAAAACCAAGTGAATGAGTGGCTTTATTCTTTTTTAATCATTCTTTTTGTTCCTTGTCTCAAAAGTTAACTTTGATTCTTAAAACTCTAAATGCAGAGATTCAGTTAACTCCACTTTCAGGGATCTGCAGGATACAAGTTTGCTTTTAGAATTTCAAGTGAAAAGGGAAGAGAACACTAGGCTTGGAGTCACTAAGAAACACACCTCAAATTTCTCCAGTTTGTTCAGGAAAAGCTATAGGTTTCCGTGGCCCAATCCAAGGAAAATGCTTTAATCTCTATGTACCTCAATTTTGTATTCTTGTTTTCTGATGTCTCCTCTTTCTAAAACACACCTGAAACTGAATATGACATGTATGTTATCATCTACAGACTAAACATCCAAGGATTTGGGAGCATTTTGGATTCTGGATTTTTTTATTTGGGATGTTCAACTGGTAAAAATGTGGGCAAATGTTCCAAAAATCTCCAAGTTCCAAAACCTGAGACCTTCAGTTCCATGCATTTTGAATAAGGAATAATCAACATATGAAACAGTCTTAATAAGAAAACTTCATGTTTCCCACATACAGGCATCACTATAATAGCTCCATTAGAGGTTTAAGTTCCCAGAGGAGGCTGGGGCCTACATATGCTTGAGATGGAAAATCATTACACCAGTCCTTTCTGCAGTTAGTAAGAATGGTAAGGATGCTGTGCATGTAAAGGCCAGTTTTTAAACAGAGCATCAAGCATAGCACTTGATAGAACTAGGTAGGTGACCAGCTCTTATACAGGTGATAGAAGGAGAGGAGAAAAGAAAAGGGTACATTAGGTTGAAGTGATAATTTGGAGGGACTTGATCTTTTTAGTCCACAAGAGAAATATTAGCTAGGTCTTTGGTCTAAAAATGGTTAATTTTTCAGAAATTCTTACAAATTTTCATTTTTCAATACACAGTTGTCTTTCTTACAAGGTCAACCCAAATGTGAATGAACACAACAAGATGTTTACAAACATGATGTTTACAAAAAAGAAAACAAGTCCCACAGTCATAGCAAGAAAACCAGAACAACTTATAGGAAAAGGATAAAAACTTGGCTTTTATATGTTGAAATAAACATACTTGTTAATAAAGGGTACTTCTCTTAGTTTTTGTGGGATGGTTTGAAAAGTTATGGAGATTTTGCAAGACATGAAAATAACAAGAGAGACAATCTAATACTGTACTTGTCCTTCAGTAAATCATATCCTGCCTGATAAGTCTCTGGATCATTCCTTTCCTCAACCCAATGCAATATTACTTAAAAACTGATTTTTTCATAGAGCTTTGAAGCAAGTTTAACTTTCAATGAAAAAAAAAATTCCCCCTAAGTTTCTCTTAATAGATTCACCCATCCATGCTTGAATGCTACAATTCATTTGGATAACTAAAATGTATGGGATTTCATCCTAATATCAAACTTAAAAAAAAAAAACAGGACAATCCCATGGGCATAATACTATAGCCAAGTATGATTCACGAAGGCACTGACATTCCATAAAAGTCATTTCAAATCTCAATGTACATATTATAATAGAGGATGATCTAATCATCCCCCAAAGACTAAACTTCATTTCTGATGTTATAGCAATGCCAATAAAATAAGTAATCATAGAGCCAAAGCATGTAGACAGAAAAGTGTTTTCTCTCTTATTTTACATAAAATTCAAATGAAGTCAAGAAATCAAGCACAATATAGTTTCAATAGCAAAGTTTTTGGAAAACACAACCTGGGTTTGAAGCTCTTATGGGCCAGAAATTGTTTCATAATCCCCAAATGTGACAAACTGGGAAAAATAAGGGTCACAACTCACAAGAGGAAGAAGAGATGTGAATTCAGCATGAATCTATCACCAGTTACCAGAGACATGCAACAGGGCACATCTCCAGGGAGGCAGGAATCTTCAAGGGTGACAAATGTTTGTGTCCTTACCTTTAATTATTCTGTAGTGTTCTTTTTCATCTCTAAAAGAAAGGCTATTTTAACAGCAGTTTGGAATATCAAACTCTCTTACCCACAGTAAGAAAAGTAGATGATAATGCAATGGGGATAATAAAGAAAAGATAAAATGAAATGTAGTAGATGTCTCCTTTTTCTTTCAAGAGGAAGAAGTTGTGGGATTCTGGGAGCATCCTATTTGAATTCATAATTTCATTTGGGTAAAATTAACATTTAAATAGTTTGCAATCACTTGAGTTTAGAGTATGGAGAGTTAAAAAATATTAGCCTAGAACTTAAATATCTAAGAATTCACAAAATGAATAATCCACACAGCTATAATTTGGAGTAGGCTTTCTTAAACTGTGGCTGCTGGCCAACGTAGTTGATAATAACCAGTACAAAGAATCATGTAGCAGTTCAAAAATATCTTTCCCCTAGATATCAATCCAGAGTCCCACACAAAGCTTCCAGCCAGTGGCCTATTCCCTTGTCCTTTCAAATTCTAGCCTGACTAATACAGAAGCCTCACCTGGGACTTCAGGAGAGAATCTTGCAGAGTGTCGAGATACAAAAAGTTTGAGTTCTTGATCCAAGTTGCATTCAATCAGGTTTGTGTCCCATGATCGGATTCCTAAGGAGGAAAAGGAAGAGTTGACAGACTTCCAGTTAGTCATTTCAGAGTGGTTTGGAAAACATCACTGCAACATTTCTCAGGCTTTAGAGGAGACTATAGAGTCCTTTTCTGAAGAGGTTGGTGACTAGCAGTGGATGGCCACAAAATGGGAAGGCCAGGGAGGTCTCTCCACCAGGCCACAAGGGAAGGATAACCATCAGCGGGGACTGAACTTCTGCCCCTCATAAAACATAAATGCAGCTTTGCTGGAAGAGTCAAAGAAAACAGCTATTAGGGAAATGACAGGCTCTCCTCCAGGGAGGGAAGAGAAAGGGCAGGGAGATGGCGAGTTTGTTTGTGGCTGAGAGGTCACTGGACTATCTCTAGCTTTCTCATGGTTCACTTGCAGTGGCAAGAAATATAAAAAGCAGGTGGGGAAGCCATAAGGGAGCTGCAATCAGGGAGCCTAGGCCTCTGTCTTTCAAATGATGTTCTTGTTAGTGTGTAATATATGATTTCTTCTTCTTTTTTTTTTTTTTWAAACCAGGGATTGAACCCAGAGGTGTTTAACCGCTAAGCCACATCTCCAGTATTTTTTATATTTTATTTAGAGACAGGGTCTCACTAAGTTGCTGAGGCTGGCTTGGAACTCAAGATTCTCCTCCTTTCTCAGCTTCCCTAGCCGCTGGGATTACAGGCATGCACCACCCTGCCCGGCTGAGTTCTTTCCTGTACCCATCTCATTTTTTTAACCTATGTTTCTCAACCCCTAGATATCCATCCAAAATTTGCATGATCTTTGATAAGCAGGGTGGGTCTCAAGACTTGGCTTTGATAAGCAGGGTGGATCTCAAGACTTGGCCCATGTGTTCTCTCAGGCATTACCTGCCCAACTTGGCAGGCAGCGCGTTTATTCACAATTGTTAGTTGTATTAAAGTTTCTTATCCAGAATCAAAGAAATATGGCAACATTTTGTACTTTATTAAGCCGTTGCTGATGCTGGGGGCCATGAACTTCCTTTCAGTTGAGACCTCCTTTCACTGGACTGAAAGGAACATCAGCAGTGAGAACACAGGATCAAGTCTCGGAATGATGGTGGTTTCCTGTGCTCATGCCACACCTCCTCAGACTTTTCCTTTCTCCTCCCTCCAGCTCCTCATCCCAAAGGGGATGGCTCAGAGGGAAATCCAGAGAGCACTGGATGAGAGAGAACTAGAGAGCAATCCAGGGAAAACTGAGGAAACCCAGGATTCTGGAGTGAGATTGTGTGCGCCCGCGCGCATGTGCATACATTTATATTTTTCCGAGCAGATTGCTCATGGTGGAGCCAGTACATAGCATTCATGATTGCACCCTTGTTTACAGCATCCTCAATTACCAAGAACAAATTTCTGCAACAACAAACACTTATTGCCCATGTCCTAAAGGTAGGAGCTTGAACCTCTGGGTACAACACTGCAGGTAAAATATCTCTAAATAGCCAGTTATTCAATCATTCTTGTTGATCATTTGTTGTGCACAGAGACCAGAGGGTTTAAGTGGCAGTGTGCTAAACACATCTCCAAATCCTGAATGCCTATCTGAATTTACCTCCACTTATGATTTATTCAGTTTTCTTATTTTACAAAGAATTTGTTCTTACCTTAATATAGATATATATATATTCACATACATACATATATGTACACATCTATGCTTATATATACATATATATATACACACACACATATATGTATACATGTGTGTCTATATGTGCATTTTTTTCTGGAAACGCATATTAAATACCTTCAGATTACACATCAAATACCTTTTCAACCATGAGGAATATTTTCAAATAGATTTATGTCCACTAAATAAAGGCAGAAATTCCCCACATGATCAATGAGAAGAATTCAGAAATGGAAGAGTTAACAGCCCTAAAGAGTGGATAAATTATAAGGGGGGATTTTATGGGTCTCCCTGGAAACATTAATGGCCTCAGTTTGCATTTGTGCTAATGGAGTATTTAAATTTTAACAAGAAAGGCATGTTGAGATTTTGCAGCTCTTTTTAGTACAGAAATGATAAATGGTTTCTTTTTTTGTTTCCCGAAGAGCTTGACAGGTTGAGAGGTCTGAATTCATTAGAATATTTTACTTCAACATATACAATATATACCAGCCTAGTGTGAAAAATCATTGCGTTCCTGTCTGCGTCTGACTTAATTGGTATTGTTGACTGAATTCTCCGAGCTGCAGGTCAGAGCTCCACTTTGTCTTCTAGCTTGTCAAGCTGGGTCAATAAGTTAATAATGAGACATATGTATTTAAATTAAATTCATACAATTTTTCTGTCTTTGTTCTAAATAATGTCTAAATTGCTACATTATTTGAATGCCTCCATCTGGGGTTATGCATACGCGTGCTCTTACATTATTGTTTGTCATTTTTTCCTTTGCTTCAAAATTAAGTTGTCTGACATAAGCATTTAAATGTTTTCTTTACATTTATATATATATATATATATATATATATATATATATATATATAAAATAATATGAATAACTTAACAATGAATAAATGCTAAATATTAAGATATCCATTTAGTATTTTTAAAATTACACTAGTAACAGCTGATAAAAATAATTTCTCTCTCTCTTTTTTGTTTTTTGTTTGTTTTCAATGTAGGGATCAAACCCCAAGCCCTGGACAGGCCAGGTCATCGGCACTCTACCATTGAGCTACATACATGTTTGCACTTCCAATTAAACTAAAAATTTAGGGTTCTCTTTCTATCAGAGCAATTTCCAGCCAAATTATTTCTTAACAATGCACAATCACTACTATCACTTTTCAAATAAAGATCAAAGGGATTTACTAGTTATTTTTTGTTGGAAAGGAAAATTTGGGGATCAGGCCACTTTCTATACCAATTGTAGAAAGAAAATATTCAGAATTGCTTTGTACCATCTGCTGGATAACATCAGTGAAGGGAGAGTATTATTCACTGAAGGCTCATTTGCATTGAGTAGGTTTCGGTATCTCCCCTTTGTGCCTAAGATGGAGCCAACAGTGGGACCTCTAGAGTTCATAGCACAGAAAGTATTCTTGGTGGTCTTTCCCACTTTCTCCCCTCTCAGAATCTGTGGCTGGATGGGATCCTGGGTATTGGTTAAGAGATTCTGAGCAGGCTTTTAGAAGCAGGTTATCTTGGTCAGCAATGGGAGAAGAGAAATCAGGAGAAATTCCTGGCCCTCTTTCTGATTATCCTCCCAAAAGTCCCCAAGTGCAGCTCTTCCCTGAGGCTTTCCTTCTCCAGCAGTCTCTAACTGCTGCACCCTTCTTGGCTTACCCAGGTGGGGAACAACTGCTAACTCCAGCAGTTTTTAAACATCTGGGCCCAAAAGGGCATCTGTAACCCCTAAGAACACTCCTGGCTGCTAAATGGGTTTGGCCCAGCCCTGGGAAGTGAGCACTATCATTGGTCTATCCTTGGTGACAAGGGAGTAACAAAGGGTTTTTTTCTTCTCACTTCTGTGACCCCACATGGTAGAAGTACACAAAGAGGAGGGGAATGTGCATGTGACACTTACAGATGGAAAAGTGGGGGAAAGAAAAGGTGTGTGTAAGGGGGGGGGGGGKCACCACAGAATAAGTCAGGGTGAAAAAGGAAGAGTCCGGTATCCTTGAAGTCTACAATCTGGATTTCTCCAAGCTTACCCTGATGCATGCATTTTGTAGGATTGTTTAATGAAACCAACAATTTTTTAAAAGCACCTCCCTTTTAAAAGCTAAAAAGATACACACAAAAAACCCCCAAAAACCTAGATTCTTAAAAACAACTGCAGATTGAAGAAAGCAGAATAAAATGACCTGCATTGCATGTTGTCATTTGGGCCTTTAATGAGTTGATCTGCCTCTATGGGCTTTAATTATTGTATCTGAGAAATGGGCTTTTGAATGTATTTTTGTAAATACCTAAATAACTAACCTATAATCATAAGATTCTATTGGTAAAACCATGCCAAAAAGTGAACTGAAACCATAATAGAAGCATAAGCTAAGGAAACAATTAAAAAGGAAATGCTAATTTAAGAAAGGCTTTACTTTTCAGAGACAAGATTTTCCTATTTTTTTCCCTTGACCTAACTTTCAATTTGATTTTTCCCTATTTTTTATAAGCTAGCAACTTGATGTTCATTACCTATGTTACATACATAGTTCATAATTTCAAGTATTGATAATAAATAATTCAGATCTTATAAAACATCTTATGAGAGAAGCAAATAATAATTGATTTATGATCATTTGTTTATTTGACCTAAAAGTTAGAAGTTATTTTAAAGTGAGCCCTTAGGAGGCTGTAGCTCAGTGGTGGAGCACTTGCCTCCCATGTGCGAGCACCGGGTTCAATCCTCAGCACAATATAAAAATAAAAAAATAAAATAAAGGTATTGTGTCCATCTACAAAAATATATATAATATAATATATTACTTAAAATATATAATGTAAATATATATTATATATATTTTAATATATATATTATATTTATATATATTTTTAAGTGAGCCCTTAGAGAAGGTTAACAATGAATCATCTATTTAATGACCTTAAGTTTTGGGACTGGCTCGTGTTTCAGTATGGATCACAGAGCCCTTAGTAGATAATACCAACTACTCGATGCAAGCAGAAATCTATCACATTTTGACTTAGAAAAGTAAAGATGAGTACAATAAATTTAATACCTTATAAACATTTCATTTAACTACCACTTATTATATTAGAAGAAAATGGAATTTGTATTTATTTATTGGTACTGAGGATTGTACCCAGGGCCTCACACATGCTGGGCAAGTGCTCTACTACTGAGCTTCATCTCCAGACCTGATAATGAAATTAAACCCAAATCTTTCCTGGGTTCTTAATTCTCTTATCATTTTAGACTAAACCCATTCAATAATGTGACATCAGAATGTTACAATATAATCAGCTAAATCTAAATCTCAAAATCCAGGGCAGTTACACACACCAATAAATTCAATTTGCAAGACACCCATGTATGTAATCTAGATTTTTAAAAAACATGCACACACACATCCCCCCCCCAAAAAAAAAAAAACAGAACAAAACAAACTTGAGGAGCAGGTGTTCTGTTAAAATCGAAGGATGACTGGATAAACCCATGTTGATGGTGAATTGCAGGGGCGGGGGTGGGTGGGTATTGCCAAGGAATAATAGTTGGTGATAGCCACAATGGTTCAGTCCTGCATAACTGAATCAGTAAAGCTAGAGGACATGGAAACAATTGTTTCAAACTCAGAAATAACCAAACCTGTCATTGTGCTTTGTAAATACAGTTGAGAAGACAAGAGTGACCATTTCTCTTGGCTTCAAGAAGCATTTATTAAGCATCCACATTAGGATGTCTCAGGCATGTTGGTTTACCATGCTACTATCATCCCTCTACAGATTTATAGATTATCTTCTAGGCTTCCCAGAGGGTCCTCAGTAACCAGATGGCAAGTCACCAGGGTCTCCAATCCCACAGAACCTCAATGAAGACAGGAAGGGAAATAATAAGAAAGAGTAACCAATGAGAAAATGGTTTCCCAGACTCCATGAAGCAAGGCCCAGTTAAAAGCGGAGCTCCCTGGAGCAGCTCCATCTTGCTTCACACACATGGCCTGCAGGGTTCAGCAACAACAGCGGTGGCATCAGAGTGACCTCTGGAGGAGGCCCAGCTGAGACCTGCCCACTGAAGCTGCAACATGTCGTGCACAGGGAAAGAAATCCTGCTCACCTTGTTGCTAAGACATCTCAGACTGTCTGAATAAAAAGCTGGGGAGTGGTATTCTCACTTAGCATTGGAAGCCCTGCAGCCTGATTTGCACTGGAGACTCCAGGACCCAGGAGAGCAATCTCCAGAGAAACAACAGCATCTGTTACTGCCCACAGGAAATGGCTCTGCTCAATCACTTGGCTGATTCTTAATGGGATCGATTCAGCCATTTCGGAATTCTGCACAAAAATGTGACCAAATTAAGGAATTAAAAATCAGGAAGGCAAGGTGATGGCAAAGGAGATGGGGGTGGGGTTCTGGAATTGCAGTAATATCTGTTCTTATCTGGATAACACAGGTGTGTTCATTTTGTGAAAAATCCATTGAGCTGTTCATCTATGATTTGTGCCCTTTCATCTCTAATACTTTAACAGGATTAATTTTTTAAAAAAAAATCAGAAAGATGAATTTTTATTACTAAGTGCTAGTAGTGTGAAAAGGAGTATAGAGGGAGCAATAGTTGGCTGCATCTGGTTTGTCCTTCAGCGGAAGCAACTTGAATAAACCCCCTGAGGAATGGGACACTGAAAGGATGATCAGCTGAGTAACAAAGCGAGAAGATAATTATGGTGGGAAGGTGAGTGCTGAACCATCTCCCTGCATGGGGCGCTGCCCACAAGTGGATGACTGTACAAAGGCAAGCTCTGAAAACTGCTGTATTGAAATCTCCCTCAGATATTAGCCTGCCCTGCGCCAACATCATGACAGGGTCAGAAAAGGAGTGACGCTGCAGTACCGGCACTCCAGTCACTGATAAGCGGTGTGACCTTGAGCCGGTCCCCTTCCTGCCTCTGGGCCCTCATCTGGAAAATAAGGATGGGGATCCCTCCCGGCACCACATTGGGTGATTAGGAAAATTTTGTAGCTAGAAATCACCTCCCTATATGTTATTATTCCCAGGCAATGCTACTGACAAATGATTTTTTTAAAAAAATCAAAGTCATTGATTCCCACAATAGCCACGCCCAAAATAAGAATGTGCAAAAATTTTCCAGGAGAAAAATGTGCAAATAAACAAAATTAGAATAAATCAGATCAAAGGCCTATAGTTTGAGAACGTAGGGTTATTGAGATGCTCAAATAAAACATTTCATTTTTAAAGTCTCTTATTTTGATTTTTTTTTCCGAATGAATTATCATGACTGCTTTCTGTTCTCATTTTTTTTTCCTTTTTTAAGCTGAAAAGAAAAATCAGTGCTTTAAAGTTAAACAAAAGAACAAGGTCTGCAACTCCAGTCCCCACCCTGCAGCCTTTTGTTCTGGGGACAAGTGGCCATTTCCAAGTGCAGAAGAAGCAGATGACAAGCGTTTATTTATTTATTTATTTTTTCATCTAAAACAAGGCTTTTCTTCCGCCTTTTATTGGGGTGAGGGGGAACCGGGAAGGAGGGCTGCGTGAACGCCCTTTGTCCGCCTCGGGCTGCCGTAGAGACCGCAGTGCGGACTGCACCACGCCCACCAGCCGGTGTCTCCGGGCAGAAACGCTTCAGCACCACCCCGAGAGAATAGAGCCGGGCTGGGGCTGCAGAGAGACCCGGCGACCTCTGTCAGGGGCGCGGGGAGGGCCAGGACGCCGGGGGTAGGCGAAAAGGCAGAGATCATAGCTGCCACCCTGGAGTCGAGCGCAACAAAGCCAGGCAGAGGGAGAGGTGGGGGCGAGTAGCCCCCGCCAGCCTGAGGCTCCCGCAAAGCGCACGCCCCGCCAGCCGTGCCTAGTGGGGGCGCCGCAGTGCGGGGGGCAGGTGCGGCTGGCGGGGTGTGGGCACTGCGGCAGTCCGGGTGGGGCTGAAGGGCGGGTCGGTCCGCACGTCCGAGGCTGCGCCCGCCGGGACCCTCCCAGCCCCGCCCAAGGTTCCGGGCGAACCGCTACCCGGCTCTGCCAAGCGCGCTCCTGGTGCACACATCGGGCGAGGGGCTGGCCCTACCCGCTGACGCCCCCTTCCTCATTCAATATACCACTCCCAAGGCTGATACTTTTAAAAGAAGCCCCACCCCACAACTTGGGGTCCCATTGTCCCTTCTCAAAGCTGCAGCTAAGACCTCAGGGGCAGCGGCGAGGCGAGCTACGTCTGGGAAACGAGCGCAGGCGGTTCTCCATCCCTAAATCCCGAGGGGTGGGGGGAGCGGGCGTGGCCCTAGGACTAGCCTAGTCATTCTGAGGAAAGAAAGGATCGGGAAGTTTTACGCCAGAAAAGGCAGTTCTCGGGGGCTTCGGTGGCCGTGGTGAGGATGGTTCCCACGGGCCCTGGCACATGGTGTTTCAACCCTCAGGTCTGCGGGTGAGAGGGATCCCAGCTTTTGCTAAGGCGAAGAAGGGTGCTGAAGGGAGTGGTTGCATCAGGTCTACTACCACCATCACCCCCTTTGCCTCCCGCGGTTGCGGCTTTATTATGGCCTTTGCTCCTCTGACACCTGCATTTCACTTAGCGGGAGAGGCGGTGGCCAACTCGACTGTGGCTGCAGACCGTCCTGGTGACTGATCCCTCAAGGTTATCAGAGACTCTCCCTCTAGGTCTCAAATTTAATATTCGGGTTATTCCCCGAAATGACCAGAAGAGTCCAGGTCGAGTGCGGGAGGAGACCGGGAGAGAGGTGGGTGCGGGGCGCGCCGCTCCAGGGGAGCTGGGTGGCCGTCGCGCCCTGGGTGGGGTCGTGTTTGCGTGTCTCCCGGTGCGCGTCCCTGGGGGCGAGGGGCCGCTTACCGAGCTCGATGTTGCCAATAGCACGCCGCAGGTGCTCTTCGGTCACGGTCTCACCGACCACCACCAGCAAGTAGAACTTGCTGTCGAGGAAGCGGTGCGACAGGCTGGGAGAAGTGGACGCCGCCGGGTTGGCGATGCTGCCGGATGGCTCCGGCTCGGTGGCTTCCACCACCACGGTCGCCATCCTGCCGGCCCGATATGCCTCGGCGAAGTGTTCCTCTCCTGCCGCTCCTCTGCTCTGCGGCAGGAGAAAGGATTATCTCCGAAGGTGCTGTCTCCGCTCCGCCCCCTGCGTCCCCCCTCCTCCCGGCGCTGCGCGCCGCCTTCCCCTCCGCCTTCTCGGAGGCGGTGGAGAGTGCGCGGGGAGAGGAGCGGGGAGTGAGAGAGGGYGGGGAGGCGCCGCTTTTATATGGAGACTAGGCAGGGAGCCCGGGAGGAGGAGGAAGAGGAGGAGGAAGGGACCACCCGGCACATCCTCACGCGGTGGCTGCCTCGGCTCTTCCAGCCGTTGGCCCAGGGCTGATGTCATCTGCAGCAAATCATCTTGCCTGCGGCCCGGAAGCTGAAGGGACGAGGTGTGCGGACAATGGTCTGGGCAGGGCCGCGAACCAAGGGGCTGAGGGACCCAAAGGGCTCCTGCTGCAACMGTGAAGTGGGAAGGCACGCAGTCTGCACACACACACACACCCTCCCACGCACCTACTGCCTTCTCCAAACCCTCATCCCGCCTATGCAGGAGAATGGGATGAGTTTCTATTTTCAGAGTGGAGATATTTCCCATGTCCTGTCCTAGGTGCACAAAGTCAGGCCTTTGCCTATGTCCAGTCCATGATGAAGCCAGGGTCTGAGATCTGTGATAGCTACAGTGGACAGGTGCCCAGGATACTCTCCCCAGGAAGACTGGAATCTGTCTTTTCTTTAACCTTGTGRGTTTAGGAAGACATGTTTACTGATATTTATCAATAGCAATATTTACCACCTTCGCTTAAAAGAATGCATGAAAATTGCAAAAACTAAGCCTACTTTCGTTTAGTCTTGAACTTTTCTTTTAAGAGCTAATGGTGAAAAAGCACTGCCTTTGTGGTGCTTATGGGAAATGAGATGAATACAGATATATTATCTCGGATACAGATTTCTTAATAATATTCTGAACAGATAGTTTCAGGCATAACAAAGAATAAAGATACTGTCTCTAACCAGCAGGATTACAGCAACTATAATGTACTCTTCAATTCCCTGGGGAACACACAGGCAAAATTATTTCATGTGACAGTGATGTCTTAAAATACATGTAGCATCAGGAATTTTTATCGCCTTTGTCTATGTTTAGAAAAACTCATTAAAATTTTTAAAAGACAACCCATCTACAACCATTTTCCACAAATATAATGAGTATAGCTTTTGTCTCAGGGAGGAAGGGAGGATGAAGAGGGGACAAACTGTGCAAACATGATGCCACCATAAAAACTGGGGAATTAGAGTTAGGGAAGAGAGGTGGACAGAAATGAGAGTAGTCAATGAGCTGTAATACAAGAATGCATGTTAGTAAAAAACTAATAATAATTTTTAAAAAGTGGATATTCTGAATTCCAAAATAACCCAATATCTTAGATATTAACAGCCGTAGCTTACTTATGTACCCTTTGCCCCCTTTTCCTGCAATCTTGAATAGGAGAGGCAGTGGGCAGCAAAAGACTGTGGGTCCCCTCCTATATGCCAGTCTGATCAATGGGAAATAAAGGTACCATCTGGTCAATAGCATTTGAGGTCTGCAACAAATTCACTGGAGAGCTCCAGACACTAGTAAACAGAGCCTAGGAGTTTCTAAGTGAAGTGTCAATAGATTATGGTCAAGATGTTCAATCACTGTGGAATCCCAAAAGGGGGCTGGAGGTAATGTGAAGAACAATCTGGCAGGGCTTAGCCATTGGAGTCCAGCATCACCTAGTGATCCCCTCTCTTCTCTGAGTCACCATTGCCTCCATGTATGTGATAGTTTTCTTTTACTATTCAATTTATTCTTAAATTTATTTTGAAATAAATTCTCTTTTGCTATATACATGGAAATACTAATATCCTTATATGTAGAAGATATTCATAAAATATACATAATGAAAATAAATTGATTAAATTCCTGCTACACATATTATTTGCTCAAGATTGAGGCATACCCTATCTTCTATAAAAACATGTTAGCAAGCATTAGAGAGGTRTGAAAAACACAGTAGTACCTGGGTTGTTCCCCTATGTTAAAKCAGAAGGTAGGATGAAAAATGCAACAAAAGGACTTTCTCACTATAATATGCAGTGAAAGGCCATGACCATGAACTACTCCCATCATCATCTGGACAGACATCATGGCAGAACACAGACTAAGAATGCATACTGCTGGGCTGGGGTTGTGGCTCAGTGGTAGAGCGCGTCTCAAATGCATGGGGCACTGGGTTTGATCACACAAATAAATAAAATAAAGGTATGTGCCCATCTACAACTAAAAAAATTTTTAAAAAAGAATGCATACTGCTGCTTTATAGCCCTGTAACTTTGAGCAAGTGACATTTTTTTTTTATATTCAGACCCCTCATGTATATGGTAAGAAGAATAAGCTCTTTATAAATCTAACTCTGTAAGAGAGGAGTAAATGATGCAAATTTATATAAGCCCCAATGCAACGGTTGAAGCATAATAAATAATCAAGGCATGGTTGATTAAATGACTTTTTTTTCTGATTTGAGACAATGAAATAAAAACAGCTTTCCAAAATGTGCAGGTGATACCTCCACCAACACCTCTGAAAAAAGAATAGAACATTAAATCACACTTTAAGCCTAGAAATGTAACCCCATTCCAAGAAAAAGGCTACAGTTCTGAGGAGGAGGAAGGCAGAAAATAATATAAGAAGGCCTGTATGCCCAGCTACCCAGTTGACATCACCTGAATGTCCCAAATGTTCCTCAAATTTGAAACACTCCAAATCCAAATCACCTTTGCTCTCCAAACCTGATTCTGTCACACGTTTCCCATTTCCATTAATACTACCACCATCTGTCCTATGTAGCAAGTCAGGAAACTCACAGATGTCTTGAACCCTTCCTTGACCCTTAGCTTCGTGTGCAATCCAGCATGGAATTTGGTCAATTTTACCTTCTAAGTATTTCTTCAATTCATCTGTTTCTCACCACTGTAGTCACCCTAGTCCAAGCTACCATCATCATGAGAGGTACTGGTGTATAAAGTAGGAAATGGGTTCTGGAGTTGAAACTCCCTGGTTTCAACTGCCATGATTTATTACCTGTGTAACTTTGGGCAGGATGCTTAACCATTCTGTGCTTTGGTTTTCTCATTTGAATGATGCAGATGAGTTGCCAGTGTTCTAAATGGGGGATAGTTTAAAAGTATAAAGTGCCTAAAAGTGTCTGTATATTATAAGTACTCATTAGAGGATAGTTTGTTTTATTATTATTCATTTCAGTATAGAAAATTTTCAAACATAAATACAAGTAGAGAGAATACTATAAATGCAAAATCATCTCTCATCTAGTGATTTTTGAGGTGTAGCAAGAATTAAACCTAGGGTCATTTAACCACTGAGCCTCATCCCTAACCCTTTTTATTTTTAATCTTCAGCTAAGTTGCTGAGGCTGGCCTTGAATTTGCAATCCTCCTGCCTCAGTCTCCCAAATCAATTATATTTGTGTGCCACTGTGCCCAGCTCCAATCAAGTGATTTTTTAAATTTCTTGTTTAAATCAAAATCAGAATAAAGTCTATTTATTTTAATTGATTGATCAGTCTTAAATCTCCTTTAATGTGTGTTCCTAATTTTTTTCCTTGCAATTTCTTGTTGGAATATGTGTTATGTAGAGTTTCACAAAGTCCTAATTTTGCTGGTTGTATCCCCTGTTGGGTTACTTAACATGTTCTSTATCTCCTGAGTTTTCTGTATACTGATAGTTAAATCCAAAAGCTTGAACAGATGCAGAATTTTTATCAGATTTTATATTTTTTACCAGTATGTTTCCTAGGTGATATTGGTTGACTCTTATTCTGTAATTTTAATAGTATTGATGATCATTACCTAGTGTCATTATATACTAAGGATTTGAAAATGGGGTAATATTCTAATTTTATTATTTTTCATTCATTTGACAACTGGAAGACTTGTTAGTAGAAGCCTTATTCCATCTGTTGATTAGCCAGAGGTACAGTTTGTACAGGAATAAAAGGATAAAAACATGACAATTTCTCTTTATTTACTAACTTTCAAAATAACAAATCCATTCCACAGTGTAATCCAAAAAAACTAATGTTTTTGTATCATTAAGACTATAACTTGCAGCTTTTATTATGTTGATGCTTTAACTTTTTCACCTTTGGAAAAGGTGTTCCCTGCTCACCATGTACTTATCTGGCCTCAGAACTTGAGAACTATCCATTTCTCTAAGGAACCCAAGTTCCTAAAGTAGGAAATGGTATTTAGAGACCATAATCTGAACATAAGGGTTTTTGCTATTATCTTGGTCATTGTTCCTAGATATTTTCAGTGGACAGAAATAGGAAATACTTTTTTTTTCAAGATGAAAAACATTATGAGTTCATACTGGCACTCCCAGTTGAGTATGAAGGCCATGGGGATTTTGTTTAAACTTTTATTCTTACATCTGTATTTCCCTTTGTCCTATGCCTTGAATTCCAGTTCTCGGAGACATCCAGGATGATTAGAAGAACAGATGATTTTTCATTTTCTTTGTCTCACAATGTATAAAAATCATATTCTCTGTAATTTTAGATAAAAATGGAATACTTTTTTTTTTAATATTTATTTTTTTTTAGTTCTCGGCGGACACAACATCTTTGTTGGTATGTGGTGCTGAGGATCGAACCCGGGCCGCACGCMTGCCAGGCGAGCGCGCTACCGCTTGAGCCACATCCCCAGCCCAAAAATGGAATACTTTTGCCAACAACGTGATTACCAAAAATGGTTCAAAGCTTTTTGCAATTATTTTTATTCTTAGAATGTATCACACTAGAAAACCAAAATTCCAGTTGCCAGACACTAAAATGATCACTCTTTTTTTTTAAATCCCAGAATATATACAAAGTAGTCACAGGATAACAACAAAACCCTACTAATATCAATAAGATTATTGCAAGTAGTTTGGATTTTTTTTTGACAATTTCCATC